GGAGGTTATGGGGGGGAAAAGCCGCTATAATCCAAAAGTTGTACTTTGGAAATTTATATTTATTAAAGAAAAGTTGGAGGAAAAAAACTTTAAATAGCATATGTTATTAAATTAGATGCATTAAATATACCTTAACACTATGAATTTTTACATGACTGTTCTCTTGGGGCTGGCGCTGTGGCTCACTTGGCTAATCCTTCGCCTGCGGCACCGGCATCCCATATGGGTGCTGGGTTCTAGTCCCGGCTGCTTCTCTTCCAGTCCAGCTCTCTGCTGTGGTCTGGGAAGGCAGTGGAGGATGGCCCAAGTTCTTGGGCACCTGCACCCGCGTGGGAGACCAGGAGGAAGCACCTGGCTCCTGGCTTCGGATCTACCCAGCGCTTGCCGTAGTGGCCATTTGAGGGGGTGAACCAATGGAAGGAAGACCTTTCTCTCTGTCTCTCTCTCTCACTGTCTAACTCCATCTGTTAAATAAATAAAAATTAAATAAATACATGACTGTTCTCTCCTTTCATGAAAACTGTGTAGTGAACCATAATCTTAACTAAAAATGGAAAATTTTCATCAGTGAATCTCAATCTATAATTAATTTATTAAGCTCTTATATGTTTAACTGGAGTTGTAATAATGATTTCTGTGCATGTTTGAACTTAACAGTAAAATTATGGTATATTACAGAGTTAGCTTAAATGAAAGATTTCCTTATTCAAAATTGGAATCTTAATAACAAGCATTTTAATAACTCTGGTCTTTCAGTTCTTTCATCACAAAGACTAGATATATCCATTGATTGAACCTTTTTATATCTTTTTTTTTTTAATTTTTGAGTTCCCTATTCAATTCCTTTCATCCATTTAGATTTTTAAAATTTTTTTTGATTTTTAAAAATCCTTTGATTTTTAAAATTTTTTTTAAAGATTTATTTATTTGAAAGGTAGAATTACAGAGAGGCAGAGGTGTGTGTGTTGGGGGGGGTTCCATCCACTGGTTCACTCCCTAGATGACCACAACAGCCAGAGCTGCACAGATCCGAAACCAGGAGCTTCTTCTGGGTTTCCCACGGGGGTGCGTGTGCCCAAGGACTTGTGGGTCATCTTCTGCTTTCCCCAGGCCATAGCAGAAAGCTGGATCAGAAGTGGAGCATCTGTGACTTGAACCGGTGCCCATATGGGATGCCGGCACTGTAGGTGGCAGCTTCACCCGCTAAGCCAAAGCACCTCCCGCACCTTTATTTTGAAATATAAAGCATTAAAATTACTTAACCTGGTCTGTTAGTAGGTATGGAAATTTTTTTCTAATCTTCTTTAGAGGGTAATATTAATAAGGAAACTCATTTTTTAAAAAGATTTATTTGATTTATTTGAAAGACAGAGTTACAGAGAGGTCAAGACAGAGATCTTCCATTCCGATGGTTGACTCCCCAGAGGGCCAAAACGGCTGAAGCTGCACCTTCATCTACAGTTCATGAAAAGCAAATGCAGAGTAACAGATACACAAATTATGGAAGATGGGTTTTTCATCTTCAACTGAAAAATATGTGCACATACAACAGAATGGAGTAGTAACTATTCTTTTTATTTTTTAAAGATTTATTTATTTGAAAGACACAGTTACAGAGAGGCAGTGGCAGAGACAGAGAGAGGTCTTCCATCCGCTGGTTCACTCCCCAGATGGCCACAATGGCCAGAGCTGCACTGATCCAAAGCCAGGAGCCAGGAGCTTCTTCTGGGTCTCCCACGCGGGTGCAGGGGCCCAAGCACTTGGGCCACCTAATACTGCTTTCCCAGGCCATAGCAGAGAGCTGGATCAGATGTGGAGCAGCCAGGACTAGAACCGGCGCCCATATGGGATGCTGGCATTTCAGGCCAGGGCTTTAACCCACTGCGCCACAGCGCTGACCCTAGGAAACTCATTTTTATTTTAAAGAAAAACAGAATTACTCTGACAATGTGATGATGGCAAAACTTTGATTAATCACACCTGTATGTTCTAGAAAGAATCCCTAAGCATAATTTTAGACACACATTCCTTATGTTCAGAAAATTAAGCTTTTATATTCATGGCTGGGGTGCATATCTAATGAACTAATATCTAATTGGGAAGGAGAGGAGATGAGAGAAATCCTATATTAAAATAAAGAAACCTTGGGACTTTAAAATGAATGGTAGGTACAAAATAGAGGATGCTGGATTTTTGTTAGGTCTGGATAGCCTTTTTCTCTTAGTCATACAGCTTTCAGATCCTGATTTTTATCTACTTTATTATTATAGCAACTATCATTGCCAAGGGCTTAATTTGGAATTAAATGAGCCTTATGAGTAAGTAATTTATTCTCATTAGTTTGCCAAAAAGTGAGTCTCTTGATGGTTTTAATACTCTAAGGCAGAATGTTTACATTTTTCTTTCATTGAGAATAAAATATTCCTTTTCAGTTGCATTTGTGTCCCAGAAAATCTGAGATCAACAGATGATATTGAAGCTGCCCTCATCAATGGCAGTTTTCCTTAAATAATAGAGAAGGGTGCTGTCGTAGTTGAATTTTGTTTCATTTTTTTTTTAGTCCATCTTCCATAGAAGAAAATAATTCAGTGCAGGCCTTCTGTAACGCCATCAATACTAATTAAATGGTAGAGTCTTCTCATTAGCTCCTCCCTCAACTTCAGGTGGTGCAGAGAGAAAATCTTGATGTTTTATGATACGTTTCACATTATATGCTTTGTAAACTATAGCTGTGTCAAAATATCAGCATAAAGCTTGTTGGCCATGCATCTTATACTGCTGGCTGATTTGTACTCTGTAGTTTTTCTATATCTGTTAAGTCCAGAAACTCCTCAAAAATAGTATAATTAAAATTTATAATTAATATTTAGAATATTTATACTATAAATAGGATAATTAAAGACATACATACTTTGAGTCAGGCTCTGTGTCACCCTCTGAGGATTTGAGATGTGTCAGTTTTTATAGCTCAGACCTACAAGAGGGCTTTTGGATAATATTATTGTAATTCTGTACTCCAGCTGGTGTGCATTGTGTTTTTATTTAATTTTCTCGTGAACTCGAGGGATTTATTAGCAAGATGAAGATAAAGATCATAGTTATTTAATTGCAGATGGATTGTCTTGGGATGTGGAAACATATTTTTTAATGCTGGGGAAACTTTATAAATAGTGAATGTGTATGGTCGTGACCGTAAATAATAAATATTGAGAAGTATGAGGACATACACATTAGGTACCCATGTGTTCATTACCTCAATTTACATTTGTTAATATGTTATTTGGGTGTTCCAGAGTTTTTTTCTAGTCCAGAATGTTTAAGCTTACGGATGTCAGGTTGTCAATCTTTATTTCATGCCAATTTGGAGTCCATGGATAAATAGAAATCAAGCACAAATTTTATTTGAAATGTTTATTTCACTTTAATAATGAGAATGAGCATCTTTTTAGATGTTGATTGTTTTCTCTGCATTAGTTGTCTGGGTTTTTAATCCATTCTTTCTATGGGGTTGTTTTGTCCTTTGTGGTTCATTTAGAGATTTTTTTTTTTTTTTAATTCTGGGGACAGATCTGCCTTTGGTGTTGTGCAGTAAGCTCACTATCTCAAGCTTGAGTTGTACTTATGATAAAGGGCTGAACGCCTTGTCGTCTGGCCTTCATGATGCTCAGTTATTGTACTGAGAATTGAATTTGTCCCAGAACCTGAGAGAAAGCATTGTTTGTTTCATTATGGTTTGTTCATTTAGGATAAGGAAGCTGTGTCTTTAAACCTGGTGAAAGAGTCCAACAGCATCTGTAGTGTCGGTATTAGAAATTACAATTGCGTCAATAGGTGAGGATTCTCAGCCCTTGCTGCTGGAATCACCTACTGGGACTTGGCTTAAACCACAGCATGAACATATTTTTTAAAGCTCACAGTGGTTACTAACATACATACAGGTTTGAAAACCATCTTTTATTGCACTTCCCTTTTTTTCTTTTAAGATTTTATTTATTATTTGAGAGGTAGAGTTACAGGCAGAGAGAAAGGTCCTCACTGGTTCACTCCCCAGGTGGCCTCAATGGCCAGAGCTGAGTCGACCCAAAGCCAGGTAGCCAGGAGCTTCTTCTGGGTCTCCTGCATGGGTGCAGGGGCCCAAGCACTTGGGCCATCTTCCACTGCTTTCCCAGGCCATAGCAGAGACCTGGATCAGAAAAGAATCAGCCAGGACTTGAACTGGCACCCATATGGGATGCCAGCGCCACAAACAGAGGAGGCTTAGACCACTGTGCCACAGCACCAGCCATGGCACTGCCAGTCTTCTCTGAGAATGTTTTTCTAGATGGAGTAGAATATGGGGTGCTCCAAGAACACAGGGCCCCTCATGTTCCTTATGACAGTTTTACATCCAGTGCGTAGACGAACCCCTTGCACATATTGCAGCATTAATTATGTGTGGAAGGAATTGATGCTGTAGTTACTCAATTGCAACGCTTTGTTAAAGCGCCCCATCAAAGTTTTACTCACGTCATGTTTAAATTTCCGGTACTTTGACTTCTCATCCCCTCACCCCTCATTTTAACGTTGTGTCAATGCACTGGGATACTCATGATTTACCTACACAAAGCTCTCAGAAATACCAGTATTGGATCAGTTTGGTACACCAAGCTAAAGTCAAAGAAATGTGAGGACAAATTAGATGCTCATTTCATTCCTAGTCATAACTCAATAGAAATTTGCTGCTTTGATTTAATTCTTAAAGCAGAGCTTTTTGAACTACATTAGAAATTCAAACCTTTTCCATGCTCTCGTTGCCTCTACCTTGTTTTTGAGACCATCTCCTGAGCATCAGTGAACGGGATTAGAAAGGCGACTTGGTGTTATCAGAATCTTATTTTTAAGATTAAAGGCATTAAAGAGATGAAGATTGCAGTTTCAAACTTAAGCTGATACTTAAAAACTGGTAGTGACTCACAAGGTCTTAAAAATTAAAACATTTTTTTTTTTTTTTTTTTTGACAGGCAGAGTGGACAGTGAGAGAGAGAGACAGAGAGAAAGGTCTTCCTTTGCCGTTGGTTCACCCTCCAATGGCCGCCGCGGCCGGCGCGCTGCGGCCGGCACACCGCGCTGATCCGATGGCAGGAGCCAGGAGCCAGGTGCTTTTCCTGGTCTCCCATGGGGTGCAGGGCCCAAGCACCTGGGCCATCCTCCACTGCACTCCCTGGCCACAGCAGAGAGCTGGCCTGGAAGAGGGCAACCGGGACAGAATCCGGCGCCCCAACCGGGACTAGAACCCGGTGTGCCAGCGCCGCTAGGCGGAGGATTAGCCTAGTGAGCCGCGGCGAAAAATTAAAACATTTTGACATGAACTTTACCAGTTGTCGCTCCCCGTCTTCGTGGAGGAACAACACAGGACCCTGCGCTGTTCTTTCGTCTGCTCGGCCCTTCCCGGGTTTGCTGCTGGTTCTTCCCGGGTTGGCTGCCGTCCTTCCACCTCCGTGGAAGGGCGGTGCCCCCTGCCACTTTCCCCACTTCCGCGGGGGAGTGGCACACCGCCGGCCGGCTCTCTCGGGGGCTGCACAGGTGTTATTCGGATGTTCCCCTTAGATGTTCCTGGTGCATGTTGTCTCTCTCCTCCTTTATAGTCCTCTTCCACCAATCCCAACTCTGCTACCCACACGCCGAGTACGCTGCTCTCCTCCAATCAGGAGTAGGATCAGCTCCTGCAGGTCATCACTCAAGTTGGCGAGAGGCAGCTGCGTAGAAGTTGTTTACTCCCTTCTCAGCACCATATTGTGGGAGAGCAGATGCAAAGAATAAGTCTTAATTCCAGTAACTTAGTCTAGCTCGAGTTGCTCCCCACACCAGTGGATTCAGTGTCCCTTTGATGTGGTGTCACTGATTTAGCTTTTACAAACCCCAAAGAAGAATGAGCATGTGAGACCATCTCACTCCAGAACTTCATTATAACTTTTTTAAAAAAATATATATTTCACTTGAGAGACAAAGAGACACAGACATGCAGGGATACAGGCAGAGACAGAGATAGGAAGAGTTCCCACCTGTTGGTTCATTCCCCATTTGTCCACAACAGCTGGGTCAGGCAGAAGCCTGAGTTGGTGGGAGGGACCCAAGTACTTGAGCCACTATCTGCAGCTTCTTAGGTTGCACATTAGCAGGAAGCTGGAGTTGGGAGCAGAACTGGGACTCGAATCTAGGCATTCAGATAAGGGATGTATCTGTTCCAATAGCATCTTAACCCCTAGACCAAGTGCCCACACCCAGGACTTTGTAGTATTTGTTGAACCTAATCATGTCATTTAAAAAAAAATGGGAAAGAGTATATGAAAGTATTTTGAAATGTAAAATACCAGGATGGGCATTGTGGCACAGCAGGCTAAACTGCCTGTTGCATTGCCTTCGTCCCATATCAGAGTTCCTAGGATGCGGTCTTAGCTTTACTTCAGATCCAGCATCCTGCTGATGCACCTGGGAAGAAGCAGATTATGGTTCCAGTCCTGGAGCCAACTAAGTGGGAGGTCCAGATGGGCTCTTGGCTCTTGGCCTTGGCTGGCTTAGTCTAGGCTGTTGCCAGGCATTGGGCAAGTGAACTATCAGATGAAAGATCTCTTTCTCTCTCTCTCACTCTGTATTTCAAATAAATAACTTTTTTTTTTAACTTTTATTTAATGAATATAGATTTCCAAAGTACAGCTTATGGATTACAATGGCTTCCCCCCCATAACGTCCCTCCCACCCACAACCCTCCCCTTTCCCACTCCCTCTCCCCTTCAAGATTCATTTTGGTTTCTCTTTATATACAGAAGATCAGTTTAGCATACATTAAGTAAAGATTTCAACAGTTTGCTCCCACACAGAAACACAAAGTGAAAAATACTGTTTGAGTACTAGTTATAGCATTAAATATTAATGTACAGCACACTAAGGACAAAGATCCTACATGAGGAGTAAGTGCACAGTGACTCCTGTTGTTAACTTAACAAATTGACACTCTTGTTTATGGCCTCAGTAATCAACCTAGGCTCTTGTCATGAGCTGCCAAGGCTATGGAAGCCCCCTGAGTTCACCGACTCTGATCATATTTAGACAAGGCCATGGTCAAAGTGGAAGTTCTTTCCTCCCTTCAGAGAAAGGTACCTCCTTCTTTGATGACCTGTTCTTTCCACTGGGATCTCACTCGTGGAGATCTTTCATTTAGGTGGTTTTTTTTTTTTTTTTTTTTTGCCAGAGTGTCTTGGCTTTCCATGCCTGAAATACTCTCATGGGCTTTTCAGCCGGATCTGCATGCCTTAACGGCTGATTCTGAGGCCAGAGTGCTATTTAGGACATGTGTCATTCTATGGGTCTGCTGTGTATTTCACTTCCCATGTTGGATCATTCTCTCCCTTTTTTATTCTATCAGCTAGTATTTGCAGACACTATTCTTGTTTATGTGATCCCTTTGGCTCTTAGTCCTATCATTATGATCAATTGTGAACAGAAATTGAACACTGGGACTAGTGAGATGGCATTGGTACATGCCACCTTGATGGGATTGAATTGGAATCCCCTGGTATGTTTCTAACTCTACCGTTTGAGGTAAGTCAGCTTGAGCATGTCCCAAATTGCACATCTCTTCCCTCTCTTATTCCCTCTCTTATATTTAACAGCAATCACTTTTCAGTTAAGTTTCAGCACTTAAGAAGAATTGTGTATTGATTACAGTATTCAACCAAAAGTATTAAGTGGAACAAACAAAAAAAATACTAAGAGGGATAACATATCAAGTTGCTCATCAACAGTCAGGGTGAGGGCTGATCAAGTCACCGTTTCTCATAGTGTTCATTTCACTTTAACAGGTTTCCTTTTTGGTGCTCAGTTAGTTGTCACCTATCAGGGAGAACAAGTGGTATTTGTCCCTTTGGGGACAAATTTCACTCAACATAATGTTTTCCAAATTCCTAACAGGGATCACTTTTCAGTTAAAATTTAAACACCTAAGAATAATTGTGTGTTAATTACAGAGTTCAACCAATGGTACTAGAACAAAAAAAAAATACTAAAATGGATAAAGTATTACATTGTACATCAACCGTCAGGACAAGAGCTGATCAAGTCACTATTTCTCATAGTGTCCATTTCATTTCAACAAGTTTCAAATAAATAACTTTAAAACAGTAAAGTACTACATAAATTACTGCTAGTGTTTTTATCTTAATATTTTGTGGCATTTTTGTCAGTACAGACATGTGTAGTATTTAATGTGAAATAGTTTTCATTATTTACACCTTGACTTTGTAGTTTCCAGTAAAGTATAAATACTTTGTCAGCTTGGTATAATAAGATCACATCTTTAATCTTAATTTTTGATAGTAAAATTTCATCAACTTAAAGATTCTTTTATTAAACTTAATAAATGTTTAAAGTCATCTTGCCTCATACCATGTCTATTTCTATTTTATTTTAGAAATAAAATAGAATTTTGCAATGTTTAAAAAAATTATTTTCAAAGTCATAGCTGGAAAGAGAAAGGAAGAGACAGAGATCTTCCATCCACTGTCTCACTCCCCAGATGGCCGCAGCAGCCAGAGCTGGGCCAGGCAGATGCCAGGAGCTTCTTCTAGGTCTTCCCCACATGGGTGGCAGGGGCCCAGGCACTTTGGCCATCATCTGCTGCTTTCTCAGGCAGGAAGCTGGATAGGAAGTAGGACAGCCAACACTATGAACTGTTACCCATATGGGATGCCAGCACCACAAGCAGTGACATTTACCCATTACACCACAACACCAACCCCAAATTAGGTAATTTTATGGCTAATTTCTTCTTGAGTTGCAAACTAGTAAAGAAATATGACTGAATTTCCCTCCCCCCATGCTTTCATGCTTCTTAGCCTTTGTTTAGGTCTGATTATAGCATTTGTGTAATACCTTCACTCAGCCACTCCACCTCCCCACCCCTCCCACCACAAGGTAGTGTAGTAGATTGGCTACAATGTTAAAGGGGCTTTTGGTACAAAATCAAGATTGAATTGTTTTTCAAGGTCTGTTTTCTCCATCTGTGATGTCTCGTCTAATTTACCTTTGCCAAATGGTGTGCTTCTCCCTTGTACAACCTGAGTCTGCAGTTATATGATTGATCATCAACTAATTGCAACTTTTACAGTAAGTTGCTGTGGTTTTTGTCTCCAAAATCAGGAAATTTTGGAACTTTGCTGGGTAGAATTTCAGAAGAGCAATGGAATGATTTGAAAAAATTATTCTTCGGTAATAATGAGGCTTTGAACCCTATTATTTGGCCAGGACAGGCCTAATATTTAAAGATTGGTGATAGCTGAACATTACATCACTTTGACCATGAAAGATGCCACACAGCAGTACATGAATTAATGTTAAGCAGAAGTTTGGCACAGATATTTTTAAAACACTGAGGCAGTTAGTGCTGTGAATGTAACATTACTTTCATCTGGTAATAAAGAATAATCCCAAATCTTTAAGTTGTCTGTAATTTTGCCTTTCTTGCTGTTTCTTATTTTTCTTAATACTGAATTTTTAACTAACCTCCTGTGCCGCCTTTTTAGACACAGAATTGCTTCTCTTTAATTTGTTTAAAAACATTTTCAAAATGACTTTGAAAAGTAAAAATGGACATTGTCACCAAAGTGTGGAAAAAGAAAGTCCTCAGGAAATTAGATATTTTTTTTTTGTTTTCTATAAGAAAACTTGCAAGATTTTTATCATAGCTCATTAGTGAGTTCAAAATGTGAGAATCAAATAAGCTGTGGTAAGAAGGACAGCAACAGCAGTCTGGAGGAGCTTATTGTGGTGAGCCCGGTGTTGACATTTTGGACTAGGCTGATGATGGAAGAGATGGAGAAAAATGGGCAGATTCAGGATATGTTTGTGAAGTGGGAGTGAGAAGACTTGGTAAGGGATGCAGTCTTGAGGGAAAGAAAGAAGCTATGAAAAATAAACCAGTTACGTGGTCTGACCAATCCCCAAGGTGACAAAGTGGGAAGAGGAGCTGCTTGATGTGGTCGAGTGGGGAAGGAAGCCAAGACTTTTGTTTGTAAAAGATTTACTTATTTATTTATTTATTGGAGAGGTAGAGTTACAGAGAGAGGGAGAGACAGAGAGAAAGGTCTTCCATCCACCGGTTCACTCCCCAAATGGCTACAACAGCCGGAGAGGAGCTGATTGGAAGCCCAAGCACTTGTGCTGTCTTCCGCTGTTTACCCAAGCTGTTAGCAGAGAGCTGGATCAGAAGAGGCACAGCTGACACTCCATCTCATGCCCATCTGGGATGCCAGCGCCTCAGGCAGCTGCTTAACCTGCTATACCACAGTACAGGCCACCATGGAGACATTCTGATGGAAGTTGTATGTTTTTTTTATTTATTTATTTATTTTTTTTTTGACAGGGAGAGTGGACAGTGAGAGAGAGAGACAGAGAGAAAGGTCTTCCTTTGCCGTTGGTTCACCCTCCAATGGCCGCCGCGGCCGGCGCACCGCGCTGATCCGATGGCAGGAGCCAGGAGCCAGGTGCTTTTCCTGGTCTCCCATGGGGTGCAGGGCCCAAGCACCTGGGCCATCCTCCACTGCACTCCCTGGCCACAGCAGAGGGCTGGCCTGGAAGAGGGGCAACCGGGACAGAATCCGGCGCCCCAACCGGGACTAGAACCCGGTGTGCCGGCGCCGCTAGGCGGAGGATTAGCCTAGTGAGCCGCGGCGCCGGCCGGAAGTTGTATGTTCTTAACAGTGTTGCTCTTTGTGGGTTTCTTTCAAACTAATCTCTTGGCTCATCTTTTTGTGAGATCTGAAGCAGCACTCTGAGTTTCCTGGAGTTAACACAGTTCTATACAGTGCTCCAGCGTGGCCATAAGAGATGGTGTTACTGGTGGGTCGTTAAGGTTGGGACGTGGAACCTGTCCTTACTGTCAGTGCCTCTGCGGGACTTGGCTTGCTAAAGTCACTAAGTTCTTCGGTTAAAGGAGTTTACCAGAAACCTTGCACTAACATGTATACCCTTTAACTTGACTCTCACAATTTGTTGTCTTTATCTTGAAATAAGTAAATCTATTCTGAAATCCATTTGTTTTTAAAAGACTTCGTCAATGTGAAAATATTGGGATTCATGAGGAGTGTTATTAAATGTTAGTTGCCACTAATGTCAGTGACTATGATGGAAAAGAAGGCAACCTGATTTATCAATTCTGCAAAGAGATTCTAGGCAATGAAATGGGGACTGGAAGAGATATAGCTAAATGCCCTGGCTTGAAACTGAGCATCCTGTCAAACCCAGTTTTTTTTTTTTTTTTTTTAACATAACTGCTCTATTTCCTCCCCAAGATTAAATTGTAAAATGAAAGATGGTTATTAGGTGCCTATTGATCTTATATGGAGTGCCAAGTAGTTGGGGGGGGGGGGTCTCATTTTGACCTGATGCTAATTGAGACAGGGAAATATATTAAACCGATTTTGCAGACATCAAAAAATGCTGCATTGGTTATTGGTATTTTAGAGGAAAAAAAACTAGAAAAGGTGTTCATTGAAAGTTATTTGCGAAGTAGCATTCTACATTCTCTCCTTCCTTTTTTTGAGGTTCCTCTCTCCCCAAGCGTGTTTGAGAAGGGGATGGAAACGAAGTCATGTTGTTTGAGAGAGTGCAGTCTGATTTTAAGAATTTGAAAAAGTACATATTGCATCTTCATGTGTTCATGGAAATGTTCTTGTGCAGTTTTGTTAATGGTCTTTCCCCCCTCTTTTTCTGGTTTCAGAGGAAGAACTTGTCTCTTTGCCTCAGCATTAGCTTGTTAACGTTTTGGGGGACCTCCCTGTTGGGTGCCCGGCTATACTGGATGGGAAACAAACCACCGAGCTTTTCTAACTCGGACAACCCTGCCGCCGATTCCGAGAGCCTCCTGGCTCGCACGCTTACCTTCTTCTACTTGCCAACCAAGAATCTCTGGTTGTTGCTGTGTCCGGATACCCTGAGCTTTGATTGGTCGATGGATGCTGTGCCTCTGCTCAAAACAACTTGTGATTGGAGAAATCTACACACAGTGGCCTTCTATACTGGACTCCTCATCCTGGCCTACTATGGATTGAAGAGCCCAAGCGTGGAAAGAGAATGCAATGGGAAAGCTGTAACAAATGGCAGGCAGAATGCAAATGGACATAGCTGCCATTCAGACACGGAGTACCGGAACTCAGAGCTTAAGCCCAGCTTTGCATCCAAAGTAGAAAATGGCATTAAAAATAATGCATCTCAGAGAACACAACTTCCTTCCACGGAGAACATTGTTGTCCTGTCTTTATCTTTGTTAATAATACCCTTTGTTCCTGCCACGAACTTGTTTTTCTATGTCGGCTTTGTAATTGCAGAGCGAGTATTATATATTCCTAGTATGGGCTTCTGCCTCCTGATTACAGTGGGTGCCAGAGCCCTTTATGTCAAAGTCCAAAAGCGGTTTCTCAAGAGCTTGATTTTTTATGCAACAGCTATGTTAATTGTTTTCTATGGACTCAAGACTGCGATCAGGAATGGAGACTGGCAGAACGAGGAAATGCTGTATAGGTCAGGGATAAAAGTCAACCCAGCTAAAGGTAATATTTTATTTTACACTTTTGCCTGCACACTTTAGAATTTCAGCCTCACTTTCTGCCTTAAAATGCAACATTAAGAAAGAGGTTCTTTTCACACAATTCTTGCACTTTCCTAATTTTTAAAGTTACTGAGTTACAGTAAAACCCATTTAGAGATAAATCCAGTATTCCCTACTTAGAATAGGGAAATACTTTTTTGCATGTGTTCTTACTTATGTTTATCCAGTAGAATTAGACCTCCCGTTGTGTTCAAATCTTGACTAGCCCATGAACTCAGAGCAATGCTTGGTTTCCACATTTTCGTACACCGGGAAGGACTTCCTTTTCCTCATATGGTAAGAGTCAGGTATCCCAATTCAGTACACTTCAGCTCTTCTATTTTCCAAGCATTTCCCAAGGAAATCCGACATGTTTACATTGCTACCTTAAAGTTTTGGAGGCAAGTGTATTTCTGAATCTTGGAATTGTGTCCCTAGATGTCAGTGTATACCCATGAAGGTGTGAGTTGCCCTGAGCTTTTCTGGGGCTAAGTAGACCGACAGCTTTGGGAGATGTCAGCAGTTAGCACATTCTTATTTTAAGGGGTCTCCAATCTTTTGGGAAATACACTTTTGAATACACAATGAGAAGGTTGATTATACCTTCCATTATTGCTTTTGATTCAGAAACTTATTTTGGCAAACCTCAGAATCAACAGCCAGAGTACAAAGTAGTTGCCTTTAAAACAAAAGTGAACAGAAGTGAATTGTAAAAGGCAGTTACAATGGATTATTCTGGTTTAGGCAAATTAAGTGGTGATGGGAGTGAGAGAACAATTGAATGAAGATAAATGTACAATTTTAGTGCACCCATGTATCACAGTACCTAATGCCAAATAGTCTTGTTCTTCATAAGGTTATTCTTTAAATTGTGGTTGTATGTTTCAGCATTTGAACTGGCATTTTTCTAATCTTTGTAACACAGTTTTGTATGAGGTTTCGAATACTGAAAGTATGAAACTGTTCTGAATGGATGAAAGCTCCCTGCTACTATGTAGCAGCATATATATTCAAATATCTAGATACCCTGGAAGCAAATTTAACATCCTTTTCTGATTAGCACAAATTAAGTCAAGAGTTCAGTGAGAAACTACACATTTGTTTAAGCCAGGGAACTAATTGTTGGTACTTAAAATGCTTAATAGGTTGCAGGGACTCTAATGGGAAGTAGAAGCATTAAAGTTGAGCTAATGCATAGCATATAATTCCTCAATTTTCTCCGAATTTACCATGTGGCTTTCCTAGGTGGTGAGTACTGCCTTGTTTCTAATGCCTGGCCTAAGTCTTGCTGTCCAAATTGTTGCAATGAATTTTGCGGAGAGCTTTTTGGCTAGTTGCTCTTCACTGGTAGGTATTAGTATATAGAATCAGGTTAGGTTGTCAGTTTTTTTTCCTGGTGTTTAAGGTAAATACATAGGATGGAGTTCAAGCAAAAGCCCTCAGAATGTTATTTGCATATCAGGGTTGTTCTAAGGATTTATTAAATTTATTGGATAAGTTTCAGGCTAAGCTGTTACAAAGACTCAAGATAGCAGAGGTTTAAATAAGATAGAAGCTTTATTCTTTCATGTAACAATCTAAGTATGTGCAGCACAGGGCTGATAAGATGGCGCCATGGGTTTTCAGGATCTGTGTGCCTTCTCTTTTGTTCCCTTGCCATCCCAGGGTGTTACCCTGGTCATCTGGTCCAAGATGGCTCATTACCACATCGGTATTTCAGCTGCCAGCAACAGGGGGAGAAAGGGCAAAAGATGGGTGGACCTACTCTCTCGAACAACATATCTCAGGAATTGTACATGCCATGTTTGCTTACAGACCACTGGCCACACCTATCAGCAAGAAAGGCTGGGAAATGTTATCTTCATCCTGGGAAGCCAAGTACCCAGCTGAATTACGTTAACTTGGAATAAGGAGAGGCAGATACTGAACTAATCCCAGGGTGTATGGCAGTCTCCAACCAATAGGGCATGAAAACATTTTGTAAGCTCTTTTGTATTTTTCAGCACCAGCTACTATTCTTGCTGCCAGCTGTGATTCTGAATAAGATAGTTGTGTCACACAATGAAAATGTTCTCTTTTTTCATTCATTGAATCACTCAGTAAAGCAACTGTTAAGCATGTCCTTGGTTTCCCACACATTTCCTGTCTCCTCCCAAATATTTGGAAAGTGCTTACAGAATTTAGGCAATCTAAAATATCATTGAATGAGTGCATGAATGACCAGTGTTATTGGTAAGTTCTTTGAGGCAAAAATTGAATTCCAGGGGCTGGCGATGTGGCAGCATCCCATATGAGTGCCAGTTTGAGTCCCTGCATCTCTACTTCTGATTCAGCTTCCTGATAGTGCTCTTGGGAATGCTGCGGAAGATGGCCCAAGTACTGTGCTCCTGCACCCAGGTAGAGTGCCAGGCTCTAATAGTTATCCATGCTGCCTCCTTGGCTTTCCCACCCCACATCCATTCCATCAACAAATCCTGTCTGCTCTGTCTCCAGAAATACCAATGCATTCCAAACTTGACCACATTTTGCCACCTCCACTGATAATGCCAAGACCCAAGCAACCACCTTACGTCTGGAATTGTTAAGATTCTGATCTCTCAGCTTCTGTTTTGTTACCTTTTTGCTTAACTTACAGTTTCTTATTTCAAGTTAGGCTTGATGTATTGTGTAATAAGAACTCGGCTAAATAGGTGGTAGTGTGAGCTTTTATGTTACTTTGTATAGAAGTTGAACTGCATCTCTTTTAGTTGTCATCCAGCATTCCCCTGGAGCCCATTGGTGTGGTGATAAGGTATGTGGAGGGAGGAAAGTGTTCTTTTTTATGATTAAATATCAGGTTTTATTGGCATGAGCATTTATAAGGTGTTGCTTTGCTTTTTTAAGATTTGTTTATTGGAAAATCAAAGTTAGAGAGGGAGAGGCAGAGTGAGCTCTTCCATCTACTGGTTCACTCCCCAGGGCAGGGCCAGACCAAAGCCAGGAGCCAGGAGCTTCTTTCAGGCCTCCCACGTGGTTAACAGGGACTCAAGAATCTTTTGATGCTTTCCCTAGGCCATTAGCAGGGAGCTGGGTTGTAAGTGGAGCACCTGAGATACAAACCGACACTCACATGAGGTGCTCACATTGCAGGCAGCATCTTTACCTGCTGCACCACAATGCGAGCCCCCTCCCTTTTTTGCTTTTGATTTTCTTATTGTCTTTTTTTTTTTTTTTTTTTTTTGACAGGCAGAGTGGACAGTGAGAGAGAGACAGAGAGAAAGGTCTTCCTTTTGCCGTTGGTTCACCCTCCAATGGCCGCCGTGGCTGGCGCACCGCGCTGATCCGATGGCAGGAGCCAGGTGCTTCTCTTGGTCTCCCACGGGGTGCAGGGCCCAAGTACTTGGGCCATCCTCCACTGTACTCCCTGGCCACAGCAGAGAGCTGGCCTGGAAGAGGGGCAACCGGGACAGAATCCGGCGCCCCGACCGGGACTAGAACCCGGTGTGCCGGTGCCGCAAGGCGGAGGATTAGCCTAGTGAGCCGCGGCGCAGGCCTGATTTTCTTATTGTCTTACCGCAGTAGAGACAGGGAGACAAGAGGCAGCTGGAGTGAAAGGAAGGTCCTTCCCCACAGCTTTAGGATGTGGCTTTGGAGAGGCCTTTCCCCTGGAGAGCAGGCTTTTGTTAGGGAAAAAGGAGAGCTCTGAGTATACTTCCTATGGTTGACTCTCCTGCTTAGAGTCAGGAGGCAGTGTTCTTGTCCCTTCACAGGTGGTGCCTCTGAGATGTAAGACCAACAGGGGGTTCCCTGACCCTGTCGTCCTCCGTGGTGTGCCATTCTCAAGGTAGTCCACACCAAGTCTGCAGCAGCTGGTCACAGCTACCTGCTCACTGCTTGGCTCCAACAGCTCCTGCTGCAGATAAACTCACCCCTTCTGCGACTTTGACTTCCCACCTTTTCCAGATTTCAGGGTAGTCATTGGCTCTGGCTCCTGGTTCACACTGATGGTTTTGTAAAACATTGCGGGCTTCAGTGTGTTTAGCGTTTTATTTTAAGGATGAGGGTGATATCTTCCAAACTCTTAGTCTCTGAGCTGAACCCCTGCTTCCATGTTTGTGCTTTACCAGTTGTCCTGATGACTCTTGGGGAAACAGAAGTCGTTCTGCTGCCCCAGGTCTTCCACCGGCTCCCAGTTTCCCTGAAAGGAAAAACACATAACCACAGACAAGACCCTATCTGTGGGTACTGTCAAGAGGTTGAGGAAAATGAAATTAAAAATTAGTTTTATTTTGGTGCAAACATTTTGAAATTCTTGCCTAGTTTTGTCATAACATAGATTTTGGTTAGCTTTTTGAAAACCCCTTGTATGCGTGGTTCTGCATCAAATTTACCTTTACAATGTATTTTTATTTTATTTGAAAAAGAAACAGAAGCAGAGAGACAGAGGGAGATCTGTCATGTGCTTGTTCCCTCCACAAATGCCTGCAGTAGCCTGAGCTGGGCCAGCCTCAAGGCAGGAGCCTGGGACTCCATCCACGTCTCCCAGTGGGTAGCAGGGACCCAAGTACTTGAGCCATCACCTGTTGCCTTCCAGCATACACATTAGCTGGAAACCGGGTCAGAAGAATACCTCTCAGCGGAACCAGGCCCTAAGTTTAAGAAGACTTGAACTTCTGCACCAAACACCTATCCCAGTGTAACTTTTTAAATTTATTTTTATTTTTTTAAATTTTTTGTAAAGACTTATTTATTTGAAATGTAGAGTTAGAGTCAGAGGCAGAGAGAAAGAGAGGTCTTCGATCTGCTGGTCCACTCCCCAGATGGCTGCAACAGCCAGAGCTTGGATGATCTGAAGCCAGGAGCCAGGAGCTTCTTCCAGGTCTCCCATGCCGGTTCAGGGGCCCAAAGACTTGGACCATCTTCCACTGCTTTCTCAGGCCACAGCACAGAGCTGGATCAGAAGTACAGCAGCTGGGACTCAAA